GATTACAGGTGTGCGCCACCACACCCGGCTAATTTTTTGTATTTTAGTAGAGATGGGGTTTTGCCATGTTGGCCAGGCTGGTCTCAAACTCCTGGCCTCAGGTGACCCACCCACCTTGGTCTCCCAGAGTGCTGGGATTACAGGCGTGAGCCACTCCACCTGGCCACAAATTTTACAGTCTTGATCAGTGTCTTCTAAAGTGTAACTTAGGAACCACCTGCAACAGAGTAACTTAAAGTCATTCTGTGTTTGTAATTTTGCAAAAAATAATAAAAAAATAAAAAATGCATCTACACTTATAAAAAATGCAGAATTCTAGGCTGCTTTCCATAAATAATAAGATGAGGACTGGACTGTGAAGTTTTATTTTTAACAGGTTTTCCAGGTGAATTTTATGGACACCATAGTTTGAACAATACTGAATATAAAATCTTGCTTCACATTGATATGGGCCTTAGGGCAGAGTGGGAACATTGGGGTCACTCCATTTCCTATAATTTATCTTTCTTGATAAGCAAGGTTTCAGAGAGACCTGATTATACTGCTGAAGTGCCTTCAGATGGTGTCAGGTGATTTGAATAACCTCATGCCCTCTTTGCCTGAATTATAGGGCTCTGGTGACCCTTATTTGATCACTTGGGGTATGCCCCTCAATACCTTCTGAAAGGTAACGGGCGTGGCACAACTCAGAGTTGACTTCTATCAGAACTGAGGCCTGGGAATATCAGAGTCTCCAATTTTTTAGCATCATAAGGCAAAGTCTTTTCTTTTCTTGTTATAGCTACTTGGTGGGTGATGAACTATGGGTAGTCATGGAATACTTGGCTGGTGGCTCTCTGACTGATGTGGTCACAGAGACCTGCATGGATGAAGGACAGATAGCAGCTGTCTGCAGAGAGGTAAGCAAATAGAGCATTTCCAGCTGAGAAGAACACCAAAATTGGCAGTTCTTCGTTTCTGATTATTCAGAATGTTTATGTCATTAAAGTAACAATAGTAGAACTTTTCCACCGAAAACAATTGGAGAGGCCAACTTCAATTTGAATTCTGTCCTAATAGCACTCCCCAGCATCACCCTCCTGAGCCCCTTGTTTATTTTAGCTGCCTTTTGTGAATCTTTTAGTTCCATTATGTCGTTCGTGAGGTGCCATATCTAAACTCACATGCTGTAGTTTCGGTGAACATGGGAAACAGTGATATTGGCATAACACTTCTTTCTAATTTGGGGAAGTTTTTACATGATACTTGTTTTATCCTGCATGTGTAATATGAGCCATGTAAAATAGTTATATTTTCATCATTTTTATAAGGCAATTTAAACGAGGTCTTCCCTCAGCCCAGAAAGCAGTTGCTTTCACAGTACAATCTGAACTTCCCTTACAACCCCACAGGGGGCCTGACAGTCTGTCTCTTTTCCAGTAAGTGTCCTACCCCTAAGGGGTTTCAAACTAAATTAAAGATATATTATTACATTTATTATGTTGACTATTAAAACACACACACACTTTTTACTGGAGTCTCATCTTAGGCATTATAAGCTATCCCATTTATTTTGGTGAGGTTTTCTATCAACAAAAGTAGGAACTCTGACTCACTGAAACTTGAAAACCAATGATAGAAAAACAAAACTAAGTGATATCAGCTAATCTTTGTTTTTTTTTTTTGTTTGTTTTGTTTTGTTTTGTTTTTGTAAGTTGTTCACTTAAATTTCTTCCTTCCTTGCTCTCCTCTCATTCTCATTTTCCCACCCCACATGTCCACCAAACATATATGTTTTCTATTCATGCCATAAATCAAACTTACTACCCTGAGCCTGTGGTTTCCTTCTTCCAGCACTACACTGCAAAGGCATTTCCAAACAAGTGCCTATTACTTCATAGCCTCGGAGTGGTTCCCAAACCTGGCTACCCGTTAGAAATAGTTTGGGGCACTTGTTTTAAATGTAGATTCCTGGGTTTCACTCCAGAACTTCTGAATCAAATCATACCATGTACAATGAAGCTTACCACAGTTGTAGAAGACCAAGCTGAATCCTCCAAATAACTGGGCCAAAGTATATTAATTGGTTAGTTTGACTGTATTAAGGATTGGTGCTATTTATCACATTATCATTCTTCATGTCCTAGTCTGATGTGTCAGCCATCATACTTAGCATGTATAATGCTAAGTGGCATCATTGATGTAAATGGTAATGTGACTTTAAAGTGGTGTTATTGAAGCATTCAGTAATCGATTTCACTTGACAAAATAAAGTTATATCCCTGCCCAAAACTTATCTAGAAATAAAACTTAGTATTAAAAAATTATTTGTGATATAATTAGAACTTTTTTTTCTGATTTAATAGTGCCTGCAAGCTTTGGATTTCTTGCACTCAAACCAGGTGATCCATAGAGATATAAAGAGTGACAATATTCTTCTCGGAATGGATGGCTCTGTTAAATTGAGTAGGTATTTTGGTTCAGGTGGTGTTAGAGTATCAGGGAATTTCTGTTCTTTTATTGTATATCTTAAGAAGATAATGGTTACTGAAAGTGATTTATTTGAAAGAAGTTACAGCCCAATTTGAAGTAAAGAATTTTTCTAACACTGTTCCTGATTATTGTGACCACATTTTTTGGATTTAATATTTCAGAATTTCTAGTGACTTGTGGAATGAATAAATGACAACTATCTAATTAGGAAACTGAAAAATTCTGTAAGTTTGAGAAAACAGTGATGAGGAGGAATTAGATTGAAGTCTAGTAAAAATGACATCACATTAGTCAGTTATTTCAGACCTTCTTAAAATCAGGACCAGCTGAGACGTCAGTTAACAAAAAGGTATGAGCTAGGCAGTTGTGGAAACTCAGTGTGTAACAAAGGAAGATACAGCCATATCTGAAAGTGATATATTGTGAAAAGGAAAATAATTTGGGCTTATTTTAACTGGCTTTTCTTCTCTGCAGCTGACTTTGGGTTCTGTGCCCAGATCACTCCTGAGCAAAGTAAACGAAGCACTATGGTGGGAACCCCATATTGGATGGCACCTGAGGTGGTGACTCGAAAAGCTTATGGTCCGAAAGTTGATATCTGGTCTCTGGGAATTATGGCAATTGAAATGGTGGAAGGTGAACCCCCTTACCTTAATGAAAATCCACTCAGGGTAAGTCAGAAGAGAAGTCAGGTACTTTATTCCCAGCAAAGGGGAAAGGCCAAATATCATTTCTAGCTTCCACCAAAAGTGACCAGAATGGGCTCTTTTCTGAGACCAGTAACATAGAAGCACCAAGTTATAATTTTCAAATTTACTGTAAGCTTTTTAAAGTTTATCTTACAATGTCTCAACAGTTTTCCTTTTCTCTTTCTTTTTTCTTCTTTTTTTTTTTTTTTTTTTGAAAAAGAGCAACTACTCTTTTTTTTCTCTTTTTCTCACTTAATTCTTTTTTCCTTCCAACTTTTATTTTAGGTTCACGGGGGGTACATATGCAGGTTTATTACAAGGGTAAATTCCATGCTGTTAGGGTTGGTGTACAGATTATTTCATCTCCCAGGTAATGAATGGAGTACTCAATAGGTAGTTTTTAGATCCTCAGATTCCTCCCGCCCTCCACTCTCAAGTAGGCCCCAGTGTGAATTTTTCGCTTCTTTGAGTCTGTGTGTACTCAATGTTTAGCTCCCACTTATGAGTGAACATGTAACATTTGGTTTTCTGTTTCTACATTAATTTGCTTAGAATAATGGCCTCCAGCTGCATCCATGTTGCTGTAAAGGACATGATTTCATTCTTTTTTGTGACTACATAGTATTCTATGGTATATATGTTCCACATTTCCATTATCCAATCCACTGTTGATGGACATCTAAATTAACTCCATGTCTTTGCTACTATGAATAGTGCTGCAATGAACATACACGTGTCTATGTCTTTATTGTAGGACAATTTATACTCCTTTGATTATATACCCAGTAATGGGATTGCTGAGTTGAATGATTTATATTCCTTTGGGTATATACCCAGTAATGGGATTGCTGAGTTGAATGATAGTTTTAAATTCTTTGAGAAGTCTCCAAACTGCTTTTTATAGTGGCTGAACTAATTTACATTCCCTCCAGCAGTGTATGAGCACTCCCTTTTCTCCTGAACCTCACCAGCATCTGTTGTGTTTTGACTGTTTTTTTTTTTTTTTTTTTTTTTTTTTGAGACAGAGTCTGCTGTGTTGCCTAGGCTGGAGTGCAATGGCGTGATCATGATCTTGGCTCACTGCAACCTCCGCCTGCTAGGTTCAAGTTATTAGTGCCTCAGCCTCCCAAGTAGATGGGATTACAGGCATGCACCACCATGCCTGGTTAATTTTTTATATTTTTGGTAAAGACAGGCTTCACTATGTTGGCCAGGCTGGCCTCAAACTCCTGGCCTCAAGTGATCTACTTGCCTCGGCCTCCCAAAGTGCTGGGATTACAGGCATGAGCCACTGTGCCTAGCCCCTTCTTGACTTTTTAATAATAACCATTCTGACTGGTGTAAGATGGTATTCATTGTGGTTTTGATTTGAATTACTCTAATGATTAGTGATGTGGAGCATTTTTTCATATGCTTGTTGGGCACATGTATATCTTCTTTTGAGAAGTGTCTGTTCATGTCCTTTGTCCATTTTTGAATGGGGTTGTTTGATTTTTGCTTATTAAGTTCCTTATAGAAGCTGGATATTAGACCTTCATCAGATGCATAGTTTGCAAATATTTTCTCCATTTCTGTAGGTTGTCTGTTTACACGATTGATAGTTTCTTTTGCTGTGCAGAAGCTCTTCACTTAAATGAAGTTCCGTGTGTCAATTTTTATTTTTGTTGAAATTGCTTATGGAGTCTTTATCATGAAATCTTTGCCAGGGCCCATGTCCAGAATGGTATTTTCTAGATTTTCTTCTAGGGTTTTTATAGCTTTAGGTTTTGCATTTAAGTATTTAATCCATCTTGAGTTGATTTTTGCATATGATGAAAGGAAAGGATCCAATTTCAATCTTCTGCTTATGGCTAGCCAGTTATCCCAGCACCGTTTATTGAATAGGTAGTCCTTTCCCCATTGTTTATTATTGTTGACTTTGTCAAAAATCAGGTGGTTGTGGGTGTGCGACTTTGTTTCTGGGTTGTCTCATCTGTCCTATTCATCTATGTGTCCATTTTTGTACCAGTACCATGCTGTTTTGGTTACTGTAGGCTTGTAGTGTAGTTTAAAGTCAAGTAATGTGATGCCTCCATCTTTGTTGTTTTTGCTTGGGATTGCTTTGGCTATTGGGGCTTTTTTGGTTCCACATGAATTTTAGAATAGTTTATTCTAATTCTGTGAAAAATGTCATTGGTATTTTGATATGAACAGTATTGATTCTGTACATTACTTTGGGCAGTATGGCCATGTTGAAAATATTGATTCTTCCTATCCAAGAACATGGAAAGTTTTTCCATTTGTTTTTGTCATCTCTGGTTTCTTTCATCAGTGTTTTGTAATTTTTGTTGTAGAGATCTTTCACCTTCCTGGTTAGCTGTATTCCTAGGTATTTTATTTTTTAGGGCTGTTGTGAATGGGACTGTGCTATTGATTTAGCTCTTAGTTGGATGTTGTTGGTGTATAGAAATGCTATTAAGTTTTTTAGCATTGATTTTGTATCCTGAAACTTTGCTGAAGTTGTTTATTAGATTTAGAAGCCTTTGGGCAGAGACTATGGGTTTTCTAGGTATAGAATCATTTCATCTGGGAAGAGAGATAGTTTAATTTCTTCTCTTCCTGTTTGGATGCCTTTTATTTCTTTCTCTTGCCTGATTATTCTGGCTAGGACTTTTAACATTTTTCTAACATGCTTTGATTGTATTTTTAATGACAAGGGTCTTTAAGATTCCTTAGTATAGCTTTCTAATGTAAAATATATGTAGCTTTTTTTTAAGTTAGATGTGGGGAGAAAGTACTTTTATTACATGACATGGTTAAATGATCAATCTAAAAAACACTTGCTTTATAATTACCTTAACAAAGTAAATAAATGCATTTCCAGAACAGCTGTAATTTTTAAATTGGATTTTCCTTCATTATCAGTAATGATTTATTGATTAACAACAGCTTAGTGGGTATTGAATGGAACACAGAGATAGACATAGTGCTGGTGAAATCACAAACTTAATTAGATTGTCAAGTAGAAAATGATAGGAAACAGTTTGCATTTGCTAACTCACTTTGCTACCACAAAATCAGAGATTTGATCTTCACGTGATCTTGTTATCCCTGCAAAGAGAAAAACTTCATTTCACAACCTAACCCTATCATCTTATTTTGGAGATGTGCTATTGATCATGTGGAGAAAAGGAAAGAGGTATGAAAGAAATGCTTACTCAGTGCAGAAGTGAGCCATAGGTATTTTGTTGTGTATAGCCCAGCAGTGAGCTATTAACAGAAGTTGTGTTTTGTATATATAACAGGCATCACATTGTTTAAAAAAGAAAATATGCACGGATTCAAATTCTACTCTCAAAATTCATGCACAGTGCTAGTATCATAGGCATCTTGTATATTGCCTGTATCATTACCACTAGGAGTCTAAAATTGAATTGTACCCGTGGTATGCAAAAAGAAAAAAAAACATTGTTCTTAGTAAATGGTTAAGAGTTTTCATATAAAGCTTGTAAAATCCATATGCAAATCAAATATATGTGGCTTTCTATGCATGTAAAGAGACCTATAAACTAACTGTCTAGTTGTTTTTGCAGTTAAACATTTTGTAGTTGGGAGCAGAATTCCCTATGTATGGAGAGGAGGACAGCTTCCTCCTGGCTGTCTCCTAACTCTTGTTTTATTCCCTGTGCTGATTAGAAAACAACAGATATGAGGGAATACCCTAATGAATGCTATAGGCTATTTCTCTGATCTCATGAAAAAATCTGGAAATGAGATGTGCACATTGATTAGCTGCCTTCAGGGCTGAGTGGAAAAGAAGGAGCATTTTCCCACCATTTGTGGGATAGCCCTCCATGGATTTAATCAAGTCCACCCCTGACCTATGTTCCAGCACATCAGGATAATTACATGGGTTTTTCCTTATTGTTTAACCACCTTTGCCCATTAAGAAATCGCAGTGAAAGAACACATCAGACGTCTTGTTTCTATGGATTTCCTCCCCTAAGTCTTTGGAGTTTGGAGGCACTAAATGGATTATGGCTATTTTGCTTTCTGCCTTCTAATGAGTAATTTACAACCTGCAAATTTTAAGGATTAAACAAATGGCTCTGTAAAACAACTAGTCTCGGTAATGGATTTATTACCTTCTTCAGTTCCCCAATTACAATTGATCTCTCTTTAGCTAGGCTGCTAATTATTAGAAAAAAGGAAACAGGTTTTGATCTTTATAGGCATCTTCTAGCCTGGGATTAGAACTCATAATTAACAGCTTGTATCTTAGATTCCACCGCTTGATATCTAAACAAGTACTTGCAGATTAACAAACCACAAGGTTCAGGAAGCCTACATTAAGTCTGCAACAAAAAGACCTGTCAGAAAGACCACCCTGTTGAATTCCACTGATAAGGATTTACTCTAACTTTGCTCGTTACTCTCTGTATGTGTGATCAACCTTCAATTAATCAATCAACAAGCCCATATAGAGCTAGCCCTATTCTAATTTTGTCTCTTCTAGGCATCAGGAGTACTTTTTTTGGTTTCGATTTCAAATATGTTTTCCTAATGTTCTCTTGAAGGAAACACAATGTCTCAGGCTATATGCTCTTATTTGGAATCTTTAAAATGTAGTCGCTGAAACCGTGGGGAGATTGGAGAGAAAAAAGATCTAACATGAGCCTACACGGAGCAGCGTTTTCTTGGATCCTGGTGCCCAGGCCATACGTGAGAAAATAGAAAATAATCAAGAGCTTTAAGAGGAGTATAAAAGAGTGCCAGATTAGTCCTTTCTTTAATATCCTTCCAACACTACAACCATCCACTAATGTGTGCTTTGAGGTGGAGAGAGGTAGAAGGAAGGAAGTGGAAGAAAGACAGAGTAGTAGAGTACAGGGTAGCATGTTGATGTGAAAAATTTTGGTCTTGTAGTCAGGCAGATCTGGGTGTGTCCTGGCTCTATAACCTGCAAGCTCTGTGACTGTCTGCAAGTTACTTAAAACCTTTCT